GATGAAATTGAGGAGAGCTTCAAGGGGAAAGAGCTGCTTTTGACGCCTCTCCTCACTGTTTTGCGGTTTTCGGGCCCCACTAAGAAACTGGGGGGGGTGGGGGGGGTGTAAAGAAAAATTGCCCACCGTGAGGGAGAAAAATGCCTGAGGATGTTGAGAAAAACTGTATGGATGAATTCAAGACCATTCCACTGACAAAATCCTTGTGGGGAAAAGAACAGTAGAGGTAGTAGCCATCCCTGGATGCTCACCACTGCACCGCCTAACAGTGCTGTTGACAGCTGGTGCAAAGTCAGGGTTGCGCCTCCTACTTCAGAGTGACATCTCCGCACAGGATTGTGTATACTTTTTGTGTTGTATATCTCTAACAATGAAGTACAGAGTCTGTAAAATAAATGTGAAAAAGTAAGCCTCTCTGCATAATCTGTTTTGCATTCTGAAGTCAAAAAGGGTAATAATTCGGACTGGGCAGCGCAACAAACTGAAGCCTGCAGCCGGATGAAATGTCCTAAGACAATATATGGGGGTCTTACTCTTTTCCACCCCTTTATCGTTTTATGTAGACCTCCCTGGCACCGTATCACTTCATTTGAGAAGCCCATAGGTCAAACCCTCCTGTCACGGGCTGGGGTGCCAGTCAAAGGGAGTCCAGAACAAGCCAAGGTCAGGAGCCAAGAAGACAGTGCAGAGTCCAAAGCCAAGCCGGGGTCAAGAGCCAGGAACACAGAGCCAAGTCCAAAATCACTAGCCAGAAGCATAGTCCAAAGCCAAGCCGGGGTCAAGAGCCAGGAACACAGAGCCACGTCCAAAATCACTAGCCTGAAGCATAGTCCAAAGCCAAGCCAGGGTCAAGAGCCAGGAACACAGAGCCACGTCCAAAATCACTAGCCAGAAGCATAGTCCAAAGCCAAGCCAGGGTCAAGAGCCAGGAACACAGAGCCAAGTCCAAAATCACTAGCCAGAAGCATAGTCCAAAGCCAAGCCGGGGTCAAGAGCCAGGAACACAGAGCCAAGTCCAAAATCACTAGCCTGAAGCATAGTCCAAAGCCAAGCTGGGGTCAGGAGCCAGGAACACAGAGCCGTAGTCCAAAGCCGGGGGGTCCAAACGTCTAGGTGCAAGAGCCAAGCCGAAGTGGATGCAAGCAGTACGAAGCTGGCTTGTTGCTTCCATGAAGAGTACTGCCCAGAGTGTGGAGTTAAATGCTGTCACCAATTAGCCAGCTGCACGATCGCCCAAGTTCCTGTTAAAACTCTGGGCTAGCTGAGCGCCTCCCTTGTAGCCTGGCCTCTCTTCGCTTGGTTGCTAAGTTTTGCCGGAGTTGCTCCCTTAAACGAGTCACATGTGGGAGTGAGTCAGGAGGACTTTCAGCTTGCAGTTCTTCCTTCTTATCTGGGCCAGGTGTGAAGACTGCTGTTGCAGGCACTTGCCCAGCTATCCTCCTCTGCTGCTTCAGAGGGGCTAGCTGTGGTTTCTGCAGGCTCCGTCAGCTCATCCTCATCCACGCCCATGACACCTCCTCTGCCTGTGGAAAGCTAGCATGTCAAGGAGAAATATTCTAGCCTATGCTTCTCCTGATGCATTAGCTTTCTGTTTAGAGTGTAAGCATTAGCTTTCTGCTGTAGAGTGGAAGGGCAACCAAACATGCAGGGGCCCATCTGCATTCTGTAGTAGTGTAGCTGCAAGACGATCGCACCAGATAAACTTTTCAAAATATGTACTTTGGCTTCTAGGGTTTTTTTTGTACAATGTGTTTTCTATGGACGTGTTCAACACTTCTCATTCTGATGCTGCCAAAGAGCTCCTCTCACAGCGGTTTGAAGCATCCCCTTCTGCTCTCTCCAGTGAGGGAACGCAATTTTTGTTTCCAGAAGTGATGCTCCAGATGGTCCCTTCGATAGAAATCTTTTCAGTATCAAGTTCAAGTTTATTAATACGGTCAAGCGACCAGCCAATATAGAACATTCCCAAGAAGAAGAAGAATATAAAAAACATAGTAAATACCTACATAAAATTCAATTGGATATATAAAAGAACATTAAACCTAATGTGGGAACAAGACCATATATCATTATAACAAAACAAAAACAGCACTAATTTATCAACAACCTGCTATCTAGGGTACAAGCTTCCTCTTTTTAAGAGCCAGGAAGCAAAGTTTTGCCACAGCTAAAGATATCCTCTCTTTCCGGTCTTCCAGCAGAAAAATTAAAATCCTCAATTCTGCAAATTTCAGCTGGGCATCCAAGGGTTTAAATTTGGACAACAATGGGGAAATTAGCAGCTGTCTCTCCATAGCATAAAAGTTACAATGCAGCAAAATATGTGAGACCGACTCTATTTCAAGATTTGTACAAGGGCAACATCTTTGAGAAATAGGCCAACGCAAAAACCTTCCTTTTAACAAATTAGAGGGTAGGGCATCAAAACGTGCTCTAGAGAAAGCCCATCTATAGCCGTCGTATATGATGAATCTTTTCAGTATAAAAATCACACATTGGCTATCTCTGCAAGATGCACTGTAATGGCAGCATCCACTGCACATATCCCACAGTTGGTGTATGTCAGAAACAGGTGCCGTAACTTTTAAAATGTAGACTTTAGAAGGCCTGTTTCCCCAACACTCAACAAAAATTAATTTAGCACTACACCAAAACATTTAATGTCAACGCTATCCCACAGAGAAACAATGCTCCCTGTGCAGTGTGTGTAATTACTGTAATTTTTAACCCCACACACACAAAAAAAACCCCTTGTCTTTTGCAGAAGTGGCTGTGGATTTATAAACAGTGAGACCAGTGCAAATTGAGGAAATTGAGGAAATGCATAATAAAATTTTGAAGTGCTTATTTGTTGTAGACCTCTTATTTCATCTTCCCTAAGACACAGTGGGCTGAGGGTAGCCAAGCTAAGAACTCAAGAGGGAACTGGATAAACATCTGGAGCAGAAGTCCATCAGTGGCTACTAGCCACAAGGGATAGATAGGAACTCTTGGTCTGGGGCAAGTGATGTTCTGCGTTCTTGGCGCTTGGGGGAAGGGCAACAGTGTTAGGGTTTCTAGTGTCCTGGCCCCACTGGTGGACCTCTTGAGGGCACCTGGCATTTTTGGGCACCTTGTGACACAGAGTCTTGGACTGAATGGGCCGTTGGCCTGATCCGACATGGGCGTCTCTTATGTTCCCGTGTTCTTAACTGTATGAACCAGATTCCCCAACCTTGACCTGGTGCATTTCACAATGGGCTTTATTTCTATGGGGCATGCAGCATACTGCCAACTGATGGGAATGGGGCTTGAGGAATGATGGGGCAACTCCCAACTTTGTATGTAGCAATACATCTCTCTCTTGTTTGAGTGTGAATACTGCCAACCAAGTCATCTTTGTTTATCAAAACATTTGCATCCTGTATCAGGGGAGGGGAGGAAAGAAAATGTTGGGGGGCAGCTTCACACACTACATTCCCCCCCCCCCGATATGTACTTAAATCTTACATGCATTTGTAACATTTATACCTCCTGTGTTTGTGGCGTAGTCAGACACCTAGACCTGGCTGTGACTTCCGGCCGGATGAGGGTCTGGTTCCAAAGCTGGCTTTACTGCCCTGCGATGTGAACTGATCTTTGTTCATCCCTGCTGGATTTCGCCTTCCTCTCCCCTCTTAGCACACTGGCTTCCTTTCAGTAGGTGAGCTATAACCAGCAGCTCTCTGGCTACTCTCTGCCTGCCGTGTGATGAGAAGGGTCAGGACCAATGCTCCCTCTAAGCTGTGGAGTCTTGCGAGCAAAAATTCTAATTTGCGAGGTACCAGCGTTAAAGCAGTGAGCGAGTGATTTGGCCACTGTGTAAATTAGTCTGCTCTGGAGCCATCCTTCCTGAGCTAAGACAAAAACGTGTGAGCTGGAGGCTAAAAAAACTGTGAGCTAGCTCACGCTAACTCAGCTTCGAGGGAACACTGGTCAGGACCTCAGCAGCCTAGCCTTCTCTGACATGTTTACTTGATGTCCAAATCTGCATCTAGTATTTGCTCCATTGTTGTACCAAACTCCCACTGGAACAGAAAAAAGATGTGGCTCAAAATCACGTGCTGACTACAGAGTCACCCCTGAAGGGCCATAAAATGGCCATAAATCTATGCAGACAGCCATAATAAAACCAGAGATCAAACGAAGTGAAACCTGCATGCAGTCTGGACCGATGCCATAATAAAATTCAACAATCGCTCAAAGTGAAAGTGGCATGCAATGCAGATGGGAATTTCTGCTCCAGTGTGGGTTTGGTAAGACAGCGAAGCAAATGCTATATGCAGATTCAGCCTTAGAAACCCCCAGCCCAATCTGTTCTGTGCAGAGCTTTTAGTCCTGATGCCTGCTTGGGAATCATCATCTGCAATTAATATCCATTTGGATAATTGCTACCTAACATCTGCCATGTGGGTGGGTCATGAATTGGGGTGAAGAATTAGTGTTCATATTTGATTGAGAGGCAGTAACACCAGGATAGCTTTGGTCATGGGAGGTAGGAGAGGGCTATCTAAGTCAATAGCATGTTGTTCTTGATGGGAACGCTCTCCCACAGCTGTGCAGGGTGGCCTTTGGGCACAAACAATAAAGCAAAGAAAGCCCCTTGCAATTTTCCCCATGGGTGCTAAAAGGGCTTGGTATCTGCAAAGACGTTGTTGGCTCTTTGTTGAATTGACACTTGTGAGGACAATTAAGCGAGCTTTTAGCCAATCAAGGCTGTTCATGAGGGTTTGGTCGGACAGTTGTGAGCAGAACAGCCCGGAACGGGCATTAAACACACAATAGTACTGCAAAAAGCACTGGGATGCATTACAGGCACTCCAGAACAATAGTCTAGAAGTGAAAACACGGAACTATCGCACTTTTATTAACCCTTTCCAGGCAAAAATGCCTCCGGAACAGCCTGAAGCAGCAACCCCCGCGTTTGTGCGCTTCCCCACAGCTGCCGCATTGGGACGATACACAGGAGGCTTTGGCCGATGATGCTGGGAGGAATAGCGGCGGAGCTGGAGCACTTCTTCGTTCTCGGAGTCGTCCGACTCGAGCGTTGCTTGAGTGCAATGGACCGCCCGCACACGGCGGTCTTGGTGCGCCGTCTCGTAGGCCGCAGCCTCCCTGAGCGCCTTGTCTAGGTCCAGGTTGTCCTGGCTCACCAGTTTCCTCCCGAGTTTGGGTTCCCGGAGACCCAAAAGGAACTGGTTTAGCAAGGTGTCCGCCAGGTGGGGCCAGCGAGCACCCAGGGGCCAGCGAGCACCCAGGGCTTGACCCTGGGTGGACAATGGGAACTGGTCTCTTGGTCTCTCCAGCAGGGAGCCAATAGAAACGGGGAGGGAAGTTCGAACCTCCCAATGGGATTCAGGGGTATCCCCTGGATATGTATATAGTTGGCCTCCTGGCCGTTTGTCTTTGTCTTAGTTGTGTAAGAGTCAAGCGTGCACCATGTTATGGGAGCTGAGTGGGCCTAGCCACGCGGTCAACCCACTACACAATAGAGCGGAGCGGTGAGCAGCTACCAGAGAACCAGGGTGCAAAGTGGAGCGGCTTGTGGCAGTCTCGGCGTTGGGGCTCGATGCGTCTTCGTCCGGGTCGCTGTTCCTGGGAGTTAGAATCCCACCCTTCGTCGCCAGTTAAAAGTACTGAGACTCACTAGTGATTTCAGCTCTCATACTTTATTTCAGCTCGGAACAAGACAAGAGTAACCAGCTCGCAGGCTGGTTTATATGTGCACAACCCCGCACCCAAAACACACCCACACCCAAGTGATTGGCTATTTACAGTGGCCGAGAGTTACGTAGGCACCTAGCCTGCCGATAGGTGCCGGCTCGGATCCGCTTGTCCCATTGTTACTGAGAGTGAAGCTCAGCCGCTTGGCATGACCGCACGAGGTCTGAGATGGATACATTACAGAGAGTTCCATGTTTTCACTTCTAGAATACTGTTCTGGAGTGCCTGTAATGCATGCCACTGTTTTTTGAGGTACTATTGTTTGTTTAGTGCCTGTTGGGGGCCATTCCGGAGGCATTTTGGCCTAGAAAGGGTTAATAAAAGTGCAAGAGTTCCCTGTTTTCACTTCTAAGATATTATTCTGGAGTGCCTGTAATGCATCCCAGTGCTTTTTGCAGTACTATTGTTTGTTTAGTGCTGTGTTGTTTGTTTAGTGCTGTGTTTAGGAGGGCTGCGAGAAAGGGGGGGGGCACACTCCGCCCCAGACAGGAAGGTCAGCGGCCGAAATCCTAGAAGGGCCGCCAGGAAAGGGGGTGGGTGGGGTGGCCACTTTCTTCCCGTCCGGGGTCTGCCCCTGGGGAAGCGGCGTTTCTTGGTCTCCCCCGTGCAAAGCGGCATCAGACCCGTAACCTCTCCGGTGAGTCGGAGGGGGGGGGGGTGAGACGAGGCTGGGACATCTGGGGCTGGGCACTGCACCCTCTTCAGAGGGTGGTGGGCTGGGGGAAGGGGAAGGAGGCGGGGCCCGATCCAGGAGAAGGAGGGAGGGCCGCCCCACTGCGGAGCCTGGGGGGGGGTCGGTTTCTCCTTTGGGCTTCTCCGGACGGGGCGGGGAGCGTTGGAGACAGACCCGGGGGCCAATGTTCCCTCTAAGCTGTGGAGTCTTGTGAGCAAAAATTCTCCTTTGTGAGCTACTGGCAGGGCCGGATTTAGACTTGCTGAGGCCCTAAGCTATACAAAACCCAGAGGCCCCCTACTGTTTTAAATTACATCAGCTGGTCTCAGAAAAATTTAAAATATATACGCCTTTTTAATATTTGAAAGCATTTTTATATTGTGTTCTTATTTGAGGCCCCAGCAGATTGCGAGGCCCTAAGCTGTAGCTTATTTAGCTTATGCGTAAATCCAGCACTGGCTACTGGCAGTAAAGTTGTGAGCGAGCAATTTGGCTACTGAATACATTAGCTTGCTCTGGAGCCCTCCTTCCTGAGCTAGGACAAAAATGTGTGAGCTGGAGGCTAAAAAACTGAGCTAGCTCACAATAACTCGGCTTAGAGGGAACACTGCCGGCCCGGGCACGTCCTCTCCCGGGCAAGCGGCTGGCTCAGGCGCAGGAATCGTGGGGGGGGGGGTATATTCCCCCACCCCCTCCTTCCAGGCAGAGGAGTCTGCGGTGGGGGCCCCAGTCCAGGGGGGGGGTGTGTGTGTCTGTGCATGGAGCGAGTCTGGAACCAACGGCCGCGTTTGCAGAGGATGGGAAATCCTCCAGGAGGGCCAAGCCCCGAGCGGAGAGCAAGGAGCTCCCAGGGGAGAAAAGGAGGCTCTCCTCCCGAAGAGGGGAGATGGTGGCTCGCCTCCCTCCCTGCTGCAGCACGGGCAGCTCGATGTTCCTGAATCTTTGCCCCCCCCCCAAGAAACCCCCGGCTTCTTTCCCTTTCAGAGGGGTTTGGGGGGTGGAAAGGGGGGGGGTCTGCACTAATGCTCCCTCTAAGCGGTGGAGTCTTGTGACCAAAAATTCTACTTTGTGAGCTACTGGCATGAAAGTTGTGAGCCAGCGATTTGGCTACCGCATAAATTAGTTTGCTATAGAGCCCTCCTTCCTGAGCGGAGACAAAAATGTGTGAGCCGGAGGCTAAAAAACTGTGAGCTAGCTGTGCTCATCTCTGTTTCCAAGCTGAAGAGCCAGCACTGTCCGAAGACTTCTCCGTGGTCATGTGGCAAGCGTGACTAAACGCTGAGGCTCTGAACACTGTTACCTTCCCACCGAAGTGGTGTACCTATTTATCTCCTTGCAATTTCTTGTTTTCGAACTGCTAGGTTGGCAGGAGCTGGGACCAGTGATGGGAGCTCACTCCACCGCACTCAGGTCTCGAACTGCCGAGCTACCGACTTTCCGGTCTGCAACTCAGCGTCTTAACCTCTGAGCCACCGCAGCCCCAAATGATCGCTACCTTGCCATAATTTGATCCTCTCTTCCCATCCTTTATGACTGGGGTGCAAATAAGGTGCGCGTTCAAGTAGTATGAATGATGTGGTAAGTCATGTCTGGCTAACCCTGACTTCCTTCATAGACATTTGTGCTTGAACTAATACCTTTTCTTGTGTATCTGTTTTAATAACCTGTGAACCTGCCACTGGGTATGAAGCTCAGAGGAGGGATTCTGCGTTTCTGATGAATGAACTAATTGTAAAATGGCTGGCTTGTTTAGTCCTATAATGAGTGTGTTATTTCCTTCTTGGTGTGTGGTGTTTATAGTCAGGAGACCAGGAGACTTAAAAATACAAAAAAATGGAGAGGATCAGGCCTCACAAGGTGATCGTATGAATACAAAGCTCACCTTTTGGTGATTAGGAGGGCCAGAAAGGAGTCCCAGGTGGGATCAGATGGGATGAATCCTTCATGCTGATTGGATGGCCCGAATGTCAAGCATTTTGGTTGTTCCACCCTCCCAGTAACCATCTCCAGCAGGACACCAGTCAATCAATCAGTAGTTTATTCCGGTACGTAACCAGCACAGATCAATTAGGAACTAAGTTGGACACCATACACTGAGTACCCAGTCGTTAATTTAAAAATAATTAAATAGAAGAAGAAGAAGAGAAGTGATTGGATTTCTAGCCCGCCCTTCACTTGGAGTCTCAGAGCGGCTTAGAAGCCCCTTTCCCTTCCCCTCCCCACAACAGACACCCTGTGAGGTAGGTGGGGCTGAAAGACCACTTTCCGGAACTGTCCTTGAGAGAACAGCTTTGACAGAAAAGTACAAGTGTATTAAAGGAACAGATAAGTTAGTCTTTCAAGAATTGAGAAGTACAAGCAGCTGTAAGATCATCTGTGTCACTCCTCAACGTTTTCTTTACGGATTTTAAAGGCTGCGGCCAAAAATCTGGCGCAAGCAAGTATAATGGGGGGGGGGGGATAGTACTCACAGCCTAGTAGAATATGCTCAATCGTTTCCGCTTTGCTGATGCCACAAGGCAGCAGTGACGGTCATCGTAGCCATCCAAAGCTGTTCAAGGGCGGATCTTAGGCTTGTTCCCACAACAGGGTGGACTCTGGAAAATGGTCCTCCTGTCAGGGCGAGTTGGAATCTGGGGCCAGGAGAAAATTCTGATTCCTCTTTGGCCGAAAGACTTGTTATATCCACCCTTCTTCTTCAATGGGAAAGAAGCTCCAAGGGATACTGTTTACCGGGGTTTGTTTCCCTTGAAAGGAGAAAGTTCTGGGGCCTTGTTATTATTTGCTTTAAGGACAAATATCCTGGCAGAGTTAAGCAAGGGTGGAAGCCAGAGGAATTCCCACAGAGTAGGAGGTCCACTGCCACACAACAGATGCCCAGAGGGAGCATTTCTGCGCCTCAAGATTCTTGAGCCAAATCTCACCGGAAGCCTTCCTGCCTTTCTCTCCCGACCTCAGGTGCTCGGTCTTCCCACAGACACACTCCTGCCCCTGCCCTGTCTTCCCTAACGCTTCTGGCCTGTCGAAGAGATTACTACAATGGTAATGGGGTCACCGTGGCCCTCTTATCCTTTTGGGGTTTACCTTTAGCCCCTAGGACGGACTGAGCCAATGTAGTCAAAGGTTAGCTTGTTAACATTCTAAAAGAGCCAAAGAAAGACACTTAACTTTTTTAAAAAGAAAAAGAAAAAACACGGAGGCATATCTAAAATAGCTAGGTTTTTAATAAAGAAAAATGATATTAAACCTGTTCTGTGAACCACAAGAAGCCCTTTTGTTCTGATTCAACAAGGCAATTCTTATCTGTCTCCTGAGCATATGAAGGTGTGTGATTCTCAGTGGTGAATCTCCATTCTGTTTGATTTTCCATGTAACTGTCTGTGTCTCTCCACCCTCATACACACACAGGAGAGAAGGCTTGCTGCATAGCAGTGTGACTAAAGGGACCTTTACACAGTCAGAGGTGACCCAAGAGAAGGGGGAAGAGATGGAAGAGCAGAACCCGGAAAGACCTGGAACTGGCAAGACAGCAAGGAAAGACCCCCATCCCAGCCCTGGTGGGAGTGGTGCTGAATTCTTCAAAAGCTGGATGCCAGATATCCACAATCAGCTCAGTGCAATCTCAGAGTTACATTGCCGACGCTTCCGGCAATTCCACTACCATGAGGCCGATGGTCCCCGAGAGGTTTGCAGCCAGCTCCATGGACTTTGCAGCCAGTGGCTGAAGCCGGAGAGAAGCACCAAGAAGCAGATTCTGGACCTGGTGATCCTGGAGCAGTTCCTGGCCATCCTGCCCCAGGAAACGCAGTGCTGGGTCAGAGGATGTGGGCCGGAGACCAGTTCCCAGGCGGTGGCCCTGGCCGAAGGTTTCCTCCTGAGTCAGGCAGAGGAGAAGAGGCAGGCAGAACAGGTGAGGGGATTCCCTCCAGATATGTGCTATTTAAGCAATGATATCTGGCCTTCTCCAAAAGGTTCCCTGCCAGACATCTGTCCAAGTGTTAATCATCCAAATGGGAGACTTCACGGCCTCCTTAAGTAGTCTCTTCTACTAGAGAAGTTCTTATTCCTCCAGATCACTTACCAGGTCTGCTGATGGAAGGGTGCAGAGTCTGGGAATGGGGCAGCTGTCACCCAGGTGTCTCTTATTTAATTGGGGCAATTGGCGTCTATGTATACAGGGATTGTTTGTTTAGAAAAACTCAAATAAATCAGGCAGATGTTCAATGAAGGGAAATGCAACAAGCAAACTTACACACAAAGACACTCTTTAAGCACGCATGCAAAGCTAACTAAGAAGAATAGGAATGAGCAGGGAATAGATTTTGGGAGAGGCTGTATTTACCAATCCTGAAGAAGTGTGGTCTACGAAGACGGCTTTGGGAATGGCGCACGTACCACGGAAGAGCGCTGACCCCCACACGCAAGTGGGGGTGTGATGTAGGAGCCAAGGACATACCATGGAGATGCCATGGAGGTGGAAGCCTGTATGTATTTTACTTATTTAATTAATTTACAACCTGCTCTCCCCGAAACCAGTTCAGCGCAGATGACAACAGTTTATAGATACACAATTTAAAACCTTCTAAAATATTACATACAATTCAATCAGTCAATAAATACAATAAAAACCAAGAAGAGAATTACTATAAAATTCAAGATGGCGAACGGCTCATGCAGAGGGGCAACATACAGACATCTCGAGAAGGGGGGGAAGCACGGGGAGAGGGAAAGGAGGAGGGGGCCAAAACTAGCTGTAGCCTATCAGCTGGGGGCCCGGTCCTGCCCTCAACCACCTGCCCGGTGGAACAACTCTGTTTAGCAGGCCCTGCAGAATTCTACCAAATCCCGCAGGGCCCTGATCTCCCCTGGAAGAGTGTCCCACCATAGGATCCATTCCTTGTTCTCTTTTCCATTCCATCTCTTACCCCTCTCCCTCGCTGTCGTTTCAGATGTGGGCACCATCCCTGGAGACAGAAGCGACATTCCCTGAGGCGGGAGGAGCTTCCTTGGAGGAAGGGCAGAGGGCGCAGGCCCTGGAGGGTGCCCAAGATGCCCTCTCCTGCGGTAAGGACTCTTTGTGCCTGGATGTGTTTGGGACACCCCCATGAGTTGGATGGGTAGAGAGTTCAGGTCAGGAAAAGAAATACAGAGTTGATTTGTGGCACTCAGTGTCCACTAACTGTGATTCCTCTCAGAGGGGAATTAGACACATTCATTGAAGGCGATTCCTCCCATTAATTAAAATGTTCATGTCTCACCTTCCTTCCATAAGAGGAATTCAAAGTCATTTAAAAGAGAAAAGGTTGACAAACCTGGGCAATAATCATGGGAAGATTTGACTTCTGTGCCCGTGCTTACAGGGGCATCTGGCGGGCCACTTTCGGAAATACGGTGCTGGAGTAGGGATGGCAGGTTGTGGACTGGCACCCCCGCCAGAGTTTTGGGGAAGGGCTTCAGGGTGGGCTTGGGGTAAATGTGATGCCATCTTGATGTGGCGTCTGGCTGAAAACCCGTTTCTGACGTTACCATGACAACAGACGCTCTGAAAGTTCATTGATAGTACCCCAGAGGTTCCAGATGTGCTATACTCACGACTGGGCTCTGGACCAAATGTAACGCTGATGTGTCATGCGACGTCATTTCCACCCCACTCTCTCCCTCCCCGAAGGCCAGACAAAAGTCTCACAGAATTCTGAAATGTCCTGGAAACACTTGTAACCTCCGAGGCTCATAGGTACCTGGTGCTTCTCTTCTGCCTCTCCAAGAATTTAGTAAAAAGTGTTAAAAATTTCATGAGTGTACCCAGGGCAAGCTTTCACAACCCTGGGAAGGGTGCGTCTGAAGCAGGGAACAAAGAAGCCAGCACCTCCTTGGTCCCTCCTCCTCTCTCAAGGGTTGCTTTTTCCCCTTTCTGTTTCTACAAGTTATCCAAGCGAAAGATCCTCCGAATGCCGTTCCCTTTACCCATACCCTGCCTTCCATCCTGTGCGTTGCCAGGCTACTCCATTCCAGTGTGCAATCTCTGCCTGGCGAGATCTCTGACGAGGGGATCTGCTTTTTCTTCCAGTGCCCCTTTTCCTATGAGGAGGTGTCCATCTATTTCACTGAGGCGGAGTGGGCCCTGCTGGATCCGGGACAAAGAGCTCTGTACAGGGAAGTCATGCTGGAGAACTATGGGAATGTGGCCTTCCTGGGTAAGGATCTTTCATAGGTTCCAGAGGTGTGAATTACTGTCATGGTGATGAGGAATTAGTCAAAACATTGAATAGCAATATACCGTTTTGAGGCCTGCCCCACTACTTGGGGAGGGGCTGTGGCTCACTGGCATGCAGAAGGTCCCAGGTTCAAACCTTGGCAGCACCTCCAGTTAAAAGGATCGGGTAGGAGGTGAGGTGAAAGACCTCTGCCTGAGACCCTTATAAGCTGTGGTCAGACTGACTTCAATGGACCCAATGGTATCATCCAGCAGAAGACAGCTTCCTGTGTTCATGTGTGTGTACATGCCCAGGGGCCACTGAGGCCAGTGTTGTGGCCATCACCCAAGCCAGGAAAGGTGTCCTGGCTACGGGTTTGCGGTCTGTATGTACTGAGCCGAATAAATACCTGAAAAATGCAGATTAGATTATCTAATCTGATTCAGCTACCGCTATAGCTGGCCGAAATAAAGGCCAAAAAAATCAGCTTTTTTCAGGTAGGTAAGCAGTGTGAAGTTCACCCATTTATGGGTGAGGACTTTGGAGCCAACCAGCCATTAAAACCGGTCAGTTTCCCTCCCCTTCGTTCCGAGCTTGGAAGTGGGGGGGGGAGCTAAAGGGAGGGGTTAGAATCACAGAATCACAGAGTGGGAGGGGACCTCCAGGGTCATCTAGTCCAAGCCCCTGCACAAGGCAGGAAATTCACAAATTCCTCCCCCCCACACACACACACCCAGTAACCCCTGTTCCATGCCCAGAAGATGGCAGAAAAAAACCCAAAACCTCCAGGATCCCTGGCCAAAGTGGCCTGAAGAAAATAAAAACATAAGAGATGCCCATGTTGGATCAGGCCAAAGGCCCATCCAGTCCAACACTCTGTGTCACACAGTGGCCAGAAATACCAGGTGAAGAAGAAGAGATTGGATTTGTACCACGCCCTTCACTTGGAGTCTCAAAGCGGCTTACAAACTCCTTTCCCTCCCCACAACAGACACCCTGTGAGGTGGGTGGGGCTGAGAGAGCGCAGACAGAAACTGCTCTTTCAGGAACAGCTGTGCCAGAACTTGTGACTGACCCAAGGTCACATCAGCAGGTGCAAGTGGAGGAGTGGGGAATCAAACCCGGTTCTCCCAGATTAGAGTCCGCGCACTTAACCACTACAACAAACTGGCTCTCAGGTGCCATCAGGAGGTCCACCAGTGGGGCCAGAACATTAGAAGCCCTCCCATTGTTGAACCCGCCCCCAAAGAACCAATAATGCCAGTAGCTCACAAAGTAGAACTTTTGCTCACAAGACTCCACAGCTTAGAGGGAACATTGGCCGCCACCACTTCCTGTGGCAGTGAATTCCATGTGTTAATCACTTTTTGGGTGAAGAAGAACTTCCTTTTATCCGTTTTAACCCGACCGCTCAGCAATTTCATGGAGTGCCCATGGAGTATTGTGAGAAAGGGAGAAAAGTACCTCTTTCCCCACCTGCTCTATCCCATGCATAATCTTATAAGCCTCAATCATGTCACCTCTCAGTCGTCGTTTCTCCAAGCTAAAGAGCCCTAAACACTTTAACCTTTTTTCATAGAGAAAGTGTTCCAACCCTTTTATCATTCGAGTTGCCCTTTTCTGCACTTTTTCCCAAACTATAATATCCTTTTTAAGGTGTGGTGACCAGAACTGCACACAGTATTCCAAATGAGGTTGCACCATTGATTTATATAGGGGCATTATGATATTGGCTGAGCTGTTTTCACTACCCTAATAATCCCCAGCATAGCATTGGCCTTTTTTATTGCAGTCACACACTGTCTCGACAGTCTGTTTCCTGACCCCAAAGTGGCGATCAGCATTTCCCTGGGTGTGTAAAAAAGGGCCACAAGAACTAAGCACTGATGTTCCTGCCCTCCCTCTCGTGATCTGCCTAAATTCACAGCAGCATCATTGCTGTCAGATGGCCATCTAGCCTCTTCGAAAACCTCCAAAGAAGGAGAGCCCACCACCTCCGAAGGAAGCCTGTTCCACTAAGGAAACAATATAACTGTCAGGAAGTTCTTCCTAATGTTTAGCCAAAAATACTTTAGATTGAATTTCAACCTGTTGGTTCTGGTCTGACCTTCTGGGGCAACAGAAAACAATTTCGTACCATCCTCTGTGTGACAGCCCTTCACGCACTTGAAGATGTTGATCATATCACCTCCGAGTCGTCTCCTCTCCGGACTAAACATACCCAGCTCCTTTACCCTTTCCCGATAGGACGTGTTCTCCAGATCCCTCACCGTCTTTGTTGCTCTCCTCTGGGCACGTTCCACCTTGTCTATATCCTTCTTGAATTGTGGTGCCCCAAACTGAACACAATACTCTAGGTGAGGTCTAACCAGAGCAGAGTAAAGCAATACCATCACTTCGCATGATCTGGACACTATACTTCTGTTGATACAGCCCAAAACAGGATTTGATGTTTTAGCTACCGCATCACACTGGTGACATACTAAGACCCCTGGATCCTTTTCGCACATAGTACTGCCAAGACAAGTCTTCCCATCCTATAATTATGCATTTGATTTTTCCTACCTAAATGCAAAACTTTACATTTATCCCAGTTAAAATTCATTTTATTTGTCTTCGCCCAGTTTTCGAGCCTGTCAAGATCATCCTGTATCCTGACTCTTGTCTTCTACTGTATGTGCTACCCCTCTGAATTTAGTATCGTGTGCAAACTTAATGAGCATTCCCTCTATTCCTCTATTCGTCTTTAGGATCTGTTTCTTCCTTATGAATCAATGATATAATTGCTTCAGTCCAAGATTCCAGTGCTCCCATTTCTTCTATTACAGATGAAATTACAGTTTTATATGGGAGCAATAAAACATCTTCAAATATTTTTTAGTATTCAGCTGGGAGTCCATCTGGACCCAATGCTTTATTTATATTATATTCTTAATAGCCTCCATAATTTCCATCATTGTTATGGGATCATTCAATATTTTTCTGCCTTCTTCTGATAGTGTGGGTCAGTCCTGTTCACATAAATACTGTTTCTGGATTTCCTTGGAAATGTCCACTCTTTTATATAGTTGCGTGTAAAAGTCTTGAATTATTTCCTTTAATCCATTCCTAGAAAATTCTTCTTTTCTATCTTTATCATACATGGAATATATCATCCTTTTCTCTTTATCTTTTCTTAAATTATGAGCCAACCGTCTTCCCAGTTTATTAGCATTTTCAAAATAATCCTGTTTAACAAATGTAATGTTTTTTGTCATTTCTTCTGATAAGAGTAAATTAAGTTAATGCTGGAGTATTCTGATCTTCATCTTTAACTACTCATTTAAAAGATCCAGTTTTAATTCTTACTCTTTATTCTGAATAGCATTCAATATATCTTGGAATGTTTTCATTCTTTCTCTTTTCTTTCCTGCCACAGACCTAATTGCCAGTCCTCTAAAAAAGGTTTTACTTGCATCCCAAACTATCTTCATCGATGTTTCTTCATTCATATTTTGTTGGAAAAAAGTCTTTATTTCTTTCTTAGCCATCTCTAAAAAGTGTCCATTTTTAAGTCATTCTGTATTCAACCTCCAGTTAAATTTTTTTGGATTATATTTATTCTTCAGTAATAGTGGGTTGTGATCTGCAAAGGTGTGTGGCATAATATCGATATCTTCAACTTCCTGAAAGAGATTTGATGTAATGCAACACATATCAATTTTGGATGAAGATTTATGTCTATCAGAATAAAAAGTATATAGTATTTTCCAGTCGGGTTTCTAGTTCTCCAAACATCAATCAGTGTGTATTCTTCAGCCAATTCTAAAAAAGATCTTGGAAGTAAGCCTTTAGAAAATTTAATCTTCTTAATAATTTTCCTGGCTAGGCCTTGATCAAAAACAGAATTAAAATTTCCAACCATAGAAATAATCATGTAGTCATATTTTGTTATAGTTTCCTTCACCGTTTCAAAAAATTTCCCCTGCGATTCATTCGGTGCATATATTACCACCAATAGATTTTTCCTGTGTCTAATATCTATTTCAAGTAGAAGAAGTCTTCCATTTTCTAATGAAGATACCAAAGCAGGTTTCAGTTTTTCTTTCACATAGACAGCTATTCCTCTTTTCTTTACTTTGTCCGAAGCAGTAAATAACTTACCATGTTTCTTATTGACCAGATAATGTTCATCTTTACATCTAATATGTGTTTCCTGCAGACGTACAATATCCACATCTATCTTCTTAAATTGTTTAAATGTCTTTCGTCTTTTCTCAGGTAAATTTAGTCCATTTACATTTGCCGAAAATATCTTGATTGTTGGTGAATCCATTATGATCAATTCTTATTACTACCATTTCTATTTCTTGTTGCCATTCTTTGTGGCCTTCCTTCTATAGATGATTTTTTGGATGTACTAACCTCAAGTTCTTAATCCGAAGTTGTTGAGTAGGCTGATGCTTCATCTTCTTTTTCTGTTGTTGAGGCTTTTGTTTTTGCCTTCTTTGTTTCTCCCTATCATAGGAGAGTTCCATAATGATCCAAAAAGTCTTTTGCCTTAAAAATGGAGTCCAATCTGAATCTTTGACCTTCAAACATGAAGAAAATTCCTTCTGGAGTAATTGAATTTGCTGTAAATTTAGAAGTAAAAAATGTATATTCTTTCCTTCTTTGTCTCACTTTCCAAGGAATTTCTCTTACAATCTTTATTTCCTTGTATTGTATTTTAAGAGTATTATTCTGTGCTTCTTTCCATACACTATCTCTGATTGTCTTCTTAGTAAATTTCAGATGTACTTCCCTTGGAAGATTATTCTTCCTTGCATAAGCAGAGTTAGCTCCATATAAGAACTCTCCATTTCTTCATATCCGACCCCCAAGAAATCTTCCCATCCTTCTGCCATAACTCTGATTAGCTCCTCTCCTTTTTGTCAGGCACATTCTGAAATCTCAGCACATCCATTTCCAGTTGGAGCAGCGAGTCCAAGACAGTCACCTGCTGTATGTCCATCCTGTTCATCAATTATGTCTCTTCAGCTTTTTTGGCTGGCTGTGCCACCCCTGTTGTTTCCTTCTTCTTTTCTATTAATTGTTTGTTGAAATCAACCACTTTAACTTTTCCCTCTCCAGTCTCTATATTCGGATTCTTCATTTGATCTGTGAGTTGTGTTAAGGCCGTCAACACCTGACTTAAGCCTGTCTTGCAAGTCATTCTGCACCTGGCTTAAACTTGAATGGAATTTAGCTTGCATATCATTCTGAGTTTGACTCAGGCTAGTTTGAAAAACAGCTGGCAAATCATTTTTAAGGTCTTTCAATGATTCCAGTGTCAGCATAGCTCCCAGTGGCTTAGTCTGTGCAGTAGGCGATGCTGCTGCAGATGTTGGGGGTGTGGTTTCCTTAGTTCCTTAGTTCCTTAGCTCATATTCACAACTTAAAAAAAAAAATTGTTAATCACCCAACATCTTTACTATTTCCCACTCCCCCTTTATTTTCTATCTTACCAGATTCTGTATTTCAACTGACAATGGAAAAAGCCAATATCAAATATCAAATAAGACTCAGTATAATAAATATCGTCCAGTCCAGTCTCCCCAAACACTTTCACTTTGGTTATTCTACTAGTTTATATCAATTTATATAAAACATTAATCAGAAAAATTCTCTGGACACCTCTTTTAAAAAGAATGATAAGTTACAGGTCTCTTCAGCTGTTCCTGTGTTCTTCTCAGTAACCCCAACAAATTGTGCTTCTCCTTTGCAAGCCAAAACAATTTGAAACTGTTTTCACATTCAACAGAAATTTCCAATTCCCTTTCCAGTCCTCCAAATCTCAGTCTAATTCTCTCAGTCTTGCAGTTTAGCCACTAAGAAGAAAAGGCAACGTTCCAGTTCCAGTTTGATTAAGTCCCAAAATATTCCAAGGGTAAGTTAAAAAAGAAAAGAAAAGAAGAAGAAGCCAGGTCCAAATCCAATAGCAAAGGAAATCCAAATTTCTTCTTTTATATTCCAACCAAATAAAGTCCAACAAATCAAAGTCAGCTTCCTAGTAATCCTTAAAAGAAAAGGGAATAGCCCAAATCTTCTCCAGATCAAAAGAGCCAGTATTCTCAAAATATATAATGCAACAAAATTAAATAAAAATACAGCTTCCAGTTTATAATTACAGCTTCTTAATCCCCAGTGACAATACTCTCAGTTCCAGCCCTGCCTTTCCCAGTCCCAGGAAAAACAACAACCCAAGAGCGAAGAGTAAATCCAAGTAAAAAGAGACAGAGGGAAAAAAGGGCTTTAGACACTGTCTCTCACTCCCCACTTCCTCCTCCAGTTTTCCTTCTGTAATGGTATTGATTACAACCAGATAGGGAGGGGAAACCTTTAAACCTTTAGTTATAACTCACAGTCCACTCTTGAGAAGATTGCAGGCAGGTTCTCTTTCTTCTTTTCCCTTTAAGTCATTCCGTTGCACACACCTGAGAGCCTGAATGGCAGCTGTACCCACCAGGTGATTGAGGCTGTCTTTGGGTCTCTCTACTCCCAGACTAACTCAGAGGAGTGACCCAAAAATGCACCCCACTTTCAGAGGCCCCCTCCAGGAGCCTCCTTGGGTAGAGTCCTCTAGATCCCCCCCAAAGTGGGCCAGTTTGGCACTTCTCTGGAGCTTCTCCAAGACGAGACGGACAATGCTGCTGCATAAACAGGAAGTCAATATATAAATGTTTATTAAAGCTTTAAAATAAGATATCGCAAAGCAGCACAGTTTCTTCAGCTCAGCAAGAGAAAAACAAAAAAGCTAACTGTTCTGTCTAAAACATGAAAGATTTGATATTGGACAGCAGCTCTTGTTGCAGCATAAGTATTCCAGCTGTAGCCTAACGCCCAATCAAGGGTCCTCCTTGACGGAATCTTCTAGAGGCTGCCGGCACCTTCCCAATCCCCCCCCTCCCTCCTGGTTGCAGAACTGAATACAGGTTCTCACAATTAACTAATTACTACATTCTGCAGTCTGGCCCTGAAAAAGATGTTAGCTCCAGGGAGACTCAAATCATGAACACCGCATGTCAGACCCAAAGCAGTTTCTTCAGCTCAGCAAGAGAAAAACACAAAAGCTGTTTTGTCTAAAACATGAAAAAATTGATATTGGACAGCACCTCTTATTGCAGCATAAGTATTTTAGCTGTAGCCACTTAATAATCACCTTAACCCTTGGGGGATCTAGGGTGCTTTCCTTCACAGATCCATCCCCCTTATAGTGGTTGGCATTGTGATTTTTTATCTTGTCCATGGTTCCTTCCTTCCAAAAGAATTCTTACTCCTGAGTTTCTTTCCTTCCCCATATAAGAATGATCACTTTCTTTCTCTTTCTCTCTCTGCGATAGAAACCAGAAGTATAAGAGAGACTTTGAAGCAGACAGGCAATGGCCTTGCATCCGAAGAATGGCAGGAGAGTTCCTCAAGAGGATACCAAGAGCATATTTCCTTCCCAAATGAGCTGGCTGAGAGTGAGTAGCCTTCACGGTTATGTCACAGGAACAGGCAAGGAGTAGCCATGGAGATTTCTTGCTCAGTTCTATGTAATGTTTTGTTTGGTGCATTCATAAAGTCCTCTACATAAGAAGGGAAGGAGTCCTTCTGGGGGCCTGAAATCTGGAGGCTCAGAAGCTCCTTCTCGGAAAAGCTCAGTTGTAGCTCTTGAGGAGCTGAAGTATCCTTAAATACTAGATATTCTGGGGAAAGGTGTAGGGGTGGTTAGGATTGGCCAAGGTGGACGAGGCCAAAGGACCATCAGTCCTTTCCTATGGCAGTCACATAGATGACTTTGGACCCTACTTCTGCGGGCCTGAAATCTGGAGGATCAGAGGCTCCTTCTGGGAAGAGCTTAGCTGTGGCTCTTGAGGAGTTGAAGTACCCTTAAATATTAGATATTCTGGGGAAAGGTGGAGGGGTGGTTAGAACTAGCCAAGCTGAACGAGGCCAAAGGACCATCAGTCCTTTCCTTCGGCAGTCATATAGATGCATTTGGACCCTACCATCCAGTCCTCCCAGGTGCTAACAGGATTTCTCTCTTTACTCCAGCAGAAGATGAGCAGACAAATGAGGAGGGTGAGGAACTTCATCAGCAAATGTCAGATAGAGTTAAAAAGGAAGACTTGAAAGAAAAAGTCAGGAATCTAGGCAGACCAAGGAGAAAGAAAGGCAGTCATCTGGTAGAGAAGAGAGATGGAAGAAAGCATAGTGTACAGTTTACAAAGCACAGGAGAATGAAAGCAAGTAAATCAATTCCATATGGAAAGTATTTCAGAAGTAGATCACAGCTCTTTGTAGACCAAAGAACACACAGAGGTGAGAAACCTTTTGAATGCTCAGACTGTGGAAAGAAATTCAGTCAGAGTTGCAGTCTAAAACAACATCGAAGAACCCACACAGGGGAGAAACCTTTTGAATGCTCAGAATGTGGAAAGAGGTTCCGACACAGGGGCAATCTTGAAGACCATCAAAGAACCCACACAGGGGAGAAACCTTTTGAATGCTCAGAGTGTGGAAAGAAATACAGTTGGAGGTTCAATCTTGAAGAGCATCAAAGGACCCACACAGGGGAGAAACCTTTTGAATGCTCAGAATGTGGAAAGAGGTTCATACAGAGTGGCACTCTTCAGCTGCACCAAAGAATCCACACAGGGGAAAAACCTTTTGCATGCTCAGAGTGTGGAAAGAGGTTCAGGAGCAGTGGTAACTTTCATCAGCATCAGACAACTCACACAGGGGAGAAACCTTTTGAATGCTCAGAGTGTGGAAAGAGATTCAGTAGGAGTGGCGATCTTCAACTGCATCAAAGAACCCACACAGGGGAGAAACCTTTTGAATGTTCAGAGTGTGGAAAGAGATTCAGTAGGAGAGGCCATCTTGAACAGCATCAAAGAACCCACACAGGGGAGAAACCTTTTGAATGTTCAGAGTGTGGAAAAAGATTCAGTAGGAGAGGCCATCTTGAAGTGCATCAAAGAACCCACACAGGGGAGAAATCTTTTGAATGCTCAGAGTGTGGTAAGAGGTTCATGAGCAGTGGTAACTTTCAGCAGCATCAGACAACTCACACAGGGGAGAAACCTTTTGAATGCTCAGATTGTGGAAAGAGGTTCATGAGCAGTTCTCACCGTCTGGTGCACCAAAGAACCCACACAGGGGAGAAACCTTTTGAATGCTCAGAGTGCGGAAGTAGGTTCAGTCAGAGTAGCACTCTTCAGGTGCATCAAAGAACCCACACAGGTGAGAAACCTTTTGAATGCTTAGAGTGTGGAAAGAGATTCAGTAGGAGTGGCAGTCTTCAAGAGCATCAAAGAACACACACAGGGGAAAAACCCTTTGAATGCTCAGAGTGTGGAAAGAGATTCAATCACAGAGGCAATCTTGAAGACCATAAAAGAACCCACACAGGGGAGAAACCTTTTGAATGCTCAGAATGTGGAAAGAGGTTCAGACAGAGTGGCGGTCTTCGGCTGCACCGAAGAACCCACACAGGGGAGAAACCTTTTGAATGCTCAGAGTGTGGACGGAGGTTCACAAGCAGTCGTAACCTTCATCAGCATCAGACAACTCACACAGGGGAGAAACCTTTTGAATGCTCAGAGTGTGGAAAGAAATACAGTCAGAGGGGCGATCTTGAAGAGCATCAAAGAACCCACACTGGGGAGAAACCTTTTGAATGCTCGCATTGTGGAAAGAGGTTCATGAACAGTTCTAACCATCTGCTGCACCAAAGAACCCACACAGGGGAGAAACCTTTTGAATGCTCAGAGTGTGGAAAGAAATACAGTCAGAGGGGCGATCTTGAAGAGCATCAAAGAACCCACACTGGGGAGAAACCTTTTGAATGCTCGCATTGTGGAAAGAGGTTCATGAACAGTTCTAACCATCTGCTGCACCAAAGAACCCACACAGGGGAGAAACCTTTTGAATGCTCAGGGTGTGGAAAGAAGTTCATTAGCAGTGGTAACCTTCAGCGGCATCAGATAACTCACACACTGGAGAAACCTTTTGAATGCTCAGAGTGTGGAAAGAAATTCAGTCGGAGTGACAATCTTCAACAGCATCAAAGAACCCACACAGGGGAGAAACTTTAAGTGCTTGGAGTGTTTCAAGAAATTCCTTTTGAGTCGCCATCTTGAACAGTACCGAAGAACCCATCTGGACCATTTTGAGTTCTCAGAATGTGGTAAGAGATTGATAACAGTAGCTGTCTTCAGTGGTGTTACAGATCCCACACAGAGGCCAAATCTTTTGAATGCTCAGAGTGTGGAGTTTAACTCAGCATGGAAATCTTCTACACCATCAAAGAACCCACACAAGTAGAAGCCATGTAACTGCTTAGCTCATGAAATGAACTTTTCTCTAATTTCACACACAAAAGAAAAGCACAAAAAGGAATGATTTCATGTTTTGGTGCGTGTTTGTGTTTTTTAAATGTTCAGTTTGACTGCAGTAATGTAAGGAGAGTGATAGAGGGAGATAAATGGGATGTGATTGGCTGATGACTGAGAATATAGGAGGAGGGGTGTCTCTGAGGTGATTCTGTGTTCTTGAAGAGATGAGTGTGGAGAGTTGTTGAGAGTCGGTTTGGCAGAGGAGGCAGTTGGAGTTTAGCCTGTGTGGCTATGAGCGAGAGAGTTTAGCCTGTGTGGCTATCAGCGAGAGAGTTTAGCCTGTTTGGCTAGGAGACAGAGAGATTTTTTTTTTTTTTGAAATGAATTTTTTTTATTATTATTATTTTTTTTTGGAGTTTAGCCTGTGTAGCTATGAGCGAGAGAGTTTAGCCTGTGTGGCTATCAGCGAGAGAGTATAGCCTGTTTGGCTAGGAGACAGAGAGATTAGACTGAGTGTCTAAGGCTGTCAGAGTTGAGTTTTGGTGTTTCAGAGACTGTGTGTGACGCCAAGCTTTGTCAGTTATATTTATAAGTTCCTTTCTTCAACAACAGCTCAAAATAACCAGAAACCTATTTTGTTCTTTTATAAATAAATCATGATTTGTTTAAAGGTATCCCAGCAATCAGAACAGTCCTTCCTCAGGGCCACCTATGGGAAACCTATGGCCCAGTTGTGTGAGGCCAGCCACTGGGCCAGGCCAGCTGACATGGTAGGAAGCCCTCAAGGATTTGGAGGGGCACCTCACCCTCCACCACCACACTTCCCTCTTTTCCTCCTCTTGTCAAACCCCATATCCTCTCCCCTTTCCCTGCCTTATTCTCTCCTTCTCAGCCATTCACCATCCTACCTTTTATCTGTTCCTCATCTGCAGCTATATTTGTTATTTATTTACTGCATTTATGCGGGGCATGAGCAAAGGAATCTTAGCCCAAGTCTCTGTAGTTGGAACAGGTCATTTGTGATTCCAGGAAAATTCCAGGCCCTGCCTGGAGGCTGGTAACCAGTGTTCCTTTGGCCTCTATGCCCTGTTGTTGACCCTTCAGAGGAACTGGTTGACCAGTGTCTGAGACAGTCCGGCTCTGTCCCTTTAGGTTTTAACTCAAGATCAGGCAGCTCTTTCTTCAGCGATTTCAGTTTATTGGAAGAGATCACAGCAACACACAGAACAACCAATCTTATATACAGTTTGGAACTGGCTAAACCACACCCCTATAACAGTAAGGTCCAATCATAAGTGAGTGCTTGGGCTCAATAGGGTTTGTTCCCTCCGAAAGTCAGTTTACCCTGATTGGTCCATTGCACAACGGCAGCCAATCAGGCTTCCTTCCTCTTGCTGCCTCGAGACCCTGTCAGGCAGTCCACAACCTTCCTCTTGCTGCCTCAAGACCCTGTCAGGCAGTCTATATCACTAGCCACAGTCTCAGTGGACAATTCCAATCCACCTCCCTGTAGAAAAGCAACAGCTACCCCATCATCTCTCCGAGATGAGCCATCCCGAACCAGAGACTTTTCATCTCCTGTCAGAGGGAACAAACCAATAAGGTTTGTTCCCTCCGAAAGACATAGTTTTCCCTGATTGGCCCATTGCACAACGGCAGCCAATCAGGCTATCAATTTTAGAATAGTGAGTGTCTATGGAGTTTGTGACTAAAGCCTCAGGCTCATTCTACAATTCAGGCTATCCATGTAACAGTAAAGGCTTACATAATGGGATGTCATATCCATGCCATGAAAAGCTTCCCCTGACTGTTTCCACACACTAGGCCTCTTCGAAAGGGATGTTTTTCTCCAGGCCAGCTGGCAGCCGTCATGATCTCTCTCAAGGCCAAGTCTTGTCTGCTCAGACTGGCAGCGGCTTTGCACCTGGGACCTTCTGCATGCCCAGCAGGTCCTCTACCCCTGAGCCGCTCCCCCCCCCCCAAACTGCAGCCTTGGGTACACCATTTTTTCCCATTCGAATGACCAGGTAGTTATGTGTAAGTAGTTAACACTCCATCAAATTAGGTTTCTGTGGTCTCTAAAAGTTTCAACAGAGGCCAAATACAACTTCTCCTGCTTCAGGCACTGTTTGGCCTCTAGTTCTAGCTTAGCGCTCTGACTTTTCTTGGTGGTCAGTTTTGGTCAGGCCATTTTGAAGGTGATTCACTCTCTTCAGACACCCTCCCTCCCCTCCCAGCTGCCATATTGCTTCCAACAAAAAAACCACCATCCGTCTCTCACACCCTGTCAAGGCCTTACAGGGTTCTTAGGCTAAACAAATGCTCTTAATTTTCTTTAGCTATGGAAGAGAGAGGGAAGCGTGCCCCATCTCTCCACCTTAGCTTTTCTCAGCCAAGTCTGAGAGTATCTAAACTCTTACAAGGTCTTTGGTAGTCTGCCACCAGGTCTCTTTATGGTTCCCAACAGGTCAGGAGGAAGAGACCCGACCTCCTGACTAGCTGTGAAACTTTACAAAAAAAGATCAGCTCTGCAGAATGTCTGCCACCTGAGCTCAAAACAAGCAAAGGCTTTTGGTAGTTGCAGGCAAGGGTCTAAGGCACACAGGTTTAGGCTTTGAGGTTTTGTTGAGACAGGCACCACACAAAATATCAAAGTCAAATATATTTTAGTTTGTTTAGGTGGAAGAATTATAAAAATGAGACATGACTTGTGAAGGAACAAAGAACAACAAAAGCTTAGCTTATCCTGCACTAGCTAACATGAGGCAGAATTTCAAAGTTACCTTTCCCGGTTACCAAGATGCAGTTGTGCAGCATACAAGTTGTTCAAGTCTTCGCCCATCCAGGCAAAGTCAAAATGGAATGCCATTGCTGGGTTGGTTCTGAACTACTGGACCATTCTAGGCTCAGCAGTCACAGACCACACGCTCAAACTGAACTAAGGTGTATTTTATAGAAAAAGAGGTCTCTCAAAGAGTTAGACCTTTACCCAATGAGGGGCCAATTCAGGTTGCTAAGCAAAAGCATCCCAGAATGATTTTACATCCCAGAATAAGTCTTTACATCCTATAATAATCTACAGCCCCTAATACTTAAGGCAATGGGAAAACCGAAAGTTATACCGCCGTTATAACCTCCGGTTACTCCCACATGCAGGTGTTACAGGGTTAATTAGTTGGAATGTGCCTAATGGTCAGCACCAAGATGATTTTTTGTTGTTGTTCAGTCGCACAGTCAAGTCTGACTCTTCACGACCCCATGGACCAGATCACGCCAGGCCTTCCGGTCTTCCACCGTCCTCTGAAGTTGGCTCAATTTCATGTTCGTTGCATCGATGACACTGTCTAACCATCTCATCCTTTGTGGTCCCCGTCTTCTTTGACCTTCAATCTTTCCCAGCATCAGGGTCTTCTCCAGTGAGTGCTCCCTTCTCATTTGGTGGCCAAAGTATTTGAGCTTCAGTTTCATTATCTGGCCTTCCAGGGAACAGTCAGGGTTGATTTCTTTTAGGATTGACTGATTTGATCTTCTTGCAGTCCAAGGGACTCTCAAGAGTCTTCTCCAGCACCATAGTTCAAAAGAATCTATTCTTCGGCACTCGGCCTTCCTTATTGACATATTTATTGGTAAAATAAAACCTTTATCTTTATTGGTAAAGTAAAACCTTTCTTATCAGCCACCGCTGTAAGCCATTTCACAAAGTCACTCAGTGCTTCTCCAAGCTATCTCTATCTCTGGGGAGAAGTCGCTGTCATTTGTCACTGGGGAAGGTTTCATTACAGGCCTCCGCATGAAGCCGGAGCCAAAGTTTAAACAAACGTTTGAAATTAAGAAATCATTTTCTTTACACACCCAGTCCTATTTGGGAATCAGAATCACAAAGAGTTGGAAGGGGCCATACAGGCCATCTAGTCCAACCCCCGTGCTCAATGCAGGATCAGCCTAGAGAGCCCCTGACAAGTGATCGTCCAGCTGCTGCTTGAAGACTGCCAGGGAGGGGGAGGCTCACCACCGCGTGAGGCAGCTGATCCCACTGCTGAACTACTGACTGTAAAAGAAAATTCCTCATATACAGCCAGTACCTTCTTGCCTGTGAATTAATTCCATTCTTATGAGTTCTGTCCTCTGCTGCGCATAGGAACAGCTTCCTGCCCTCCTCTAAGCGACAGCCTTTCAAAGACTTCAAGAGAGCCATCATGTCCCCCCTCAACCTCCCTGTCTACAGACTGAACATTCCCAAGTCGAGACAGTGTGCAACTGCAATTTAAAAAGGCCAACGCTATGCCGGGGATTATTAGGAAGGGAATTGAAAACAAATCAGCCAGTATCATAATGCCCCTCTATAAATCAATGGTGCGACCTCATTTGGAATACTGTGTGCAATTCTGGTCACCACACCTCAAAAGGGATATTATAGTATTGGAAAGGGTGCAGAAAAGGACAACTAGAATGACAAAAGGGTTGGAACACTTTCCCTATGAAGAAAGGTTAAAGCACTTGGGGCTCTTTAGCTTGGAGAAACGACGGCTGAGTGGGCGACATGATCGATGTTTATAAGATTATGCATGGGATAGAGCAGGTAGAGAAAGAAGAACTTTTCTCCCTTTCTCACAATACAAGAACTCGTGGGACCTCCATGAAATTGCTGAGCAGTTGGGTTAGAACGGATAAAAGGAAGTACTGCTTCACCCAAAGAGTGATTAACACATGGAATTCACTGCCACAGGAGGTGGTGGCAGCTACAAGCATGGACAGC